CAAACTGATCTTTGGAAATTCATATATGCGTCATTATAATAAAAAAGTACCTATATGAAATTCGATTTATTTTCAAAAATAAAAAAAATATATTCAATCATATCGGTTAGCAATAAACTATTACAATGCAAAATATTTTGATTAATTTTTATTTAGCCTGTTAAAATATAAAACAGGTAGCTATTAAAAGTATGCAATTGGACGTCAGCGTAGTTAGATAATCTCAACGTAACTTAATAGAGAAATTCATTTATAAACCGTATTCGTTTGATATTCTACTAAATACTTCCGAAATATACAAGAACTTTTCAATGAGGGCTATCGCGTATGAATCCGCCGCTAGAGGCGCTAGTGTAGCGTGAGGTCTCCGAAATGTCAAATGTTATTGCTTGTTGGTTGACTACGCGAGTTTATTTCTAATTAAAATAATGTTGTGAATAATTGGTAACAATTCGGCTTAATTATGGCAAATATGAGTTATGTGGCAATGAATGTCAGTTATTAAAAATTTGAGCTTAGAAAAATGATTATGTTCCCATTTTTTCCCAATAAAACGGAACTGCGCGTCACTGTGGCATGGCCTATTATGTTTAGGATATGGTTCTTTTGTGTTAAAATACGATCTAAATGTAACCTTTGATTTCATGTGCGTATTAATAAACTTTAAAAGTTACAATTTAGGACCTCACTCAACAGTGGCGCCATCTGGTGAGGCAGAAAACGGTAGCCCTCATTGCACAGTACAAAGGGAAAAACAAAAGACAAAAGAGTCGTTTGTATTTGAAAATAGTAAACAGTTGTCATATATCAGTAAGCTAATGTTTCTACCTCTAACATAGTATAATATAATCTAATAGTGAGTGAATTTCTCAATCCGCATTCTCATTAGCTAGATAGCGACCAAGATATTGTGGCACTTAGATGACGTTGACAGGAGGGCGCTGCTGGTGAATAATTGGTGAAATGAGGATTACTAAATACGTAAAATCTCCTTCCCAAAGGAACGTTATCATTTACAATAATTCGGAAACAGTAATAGGACACATAAAAGGTTTATTTACACCTTTCTATAGAAATAAAAGGCTTATTTATTTATCCTAAAATAAGTTCCGATTTTGACCACGTGCCACAAGATCTTGGTAGCATTGTAGAATCAAGTCGACACAACGGTTGCTATGGTAATCGTAAACTGTACCTATAGACATTTAAAGTGGACTGAGCGACAATTGAATGAAACTAACAATTCTATAGAAAGGGAGGAAAGCAGCCAATATATAGACGAATTATAGGCCGCCCTATCTCTTCCTCTGTCTCGCACTTATATGCCCGCATACCTTAAAGGGGTTTTTATACATTCGTCACAAAGTTTTGTCAGGAAAAAAGTATGTGTTACTACGAAACAGTTCTATTTTATAATCATCATCATCAGCCTCTTTTATGTCCCCACTGCTGGGACACAGGCCTTCCCTATGGATGGAATAGGGAGATTGGGCCATGACCCACCACGCGGGCTCAGTGCGGATTGGCGGGTGCTAACGATTGCAGATGCAACCGGGACCAACGGCTTAACGTGCCTTCCGAAGCACGGAGGAACTCGAGATAGAAATTATTGGACACCCATCCAATGACCACTGCGAAAGTTACTTAACTACAACGATCGCAGCCGAACGCGCTTACCACCTGCGCCATCGAGCTCCTCAAGAAAATCTTCTCCTCTCTTATTTTATAATAGTTTAAGTTAATAGGGAATGTGCATGATTATTTTTTTCATTTCATAGGTTACATTCCCCTTTTATACAGTATAAAAATATTCAACGTCCGAAAAATAATGTAGGTATAATGTGTCTTAAAAGTGTTTATAATAGCCAGTTTACACGGTCATATTGAACGCTCGCTATTTTGGAACTCTTGGTGTGACGTCACAGTCCACAGCAAGCTAGCAATAAAACAAACAAGTCCACAGTTAGATTAGAAGGTTAGGTGCGCGCGCGCACTGGATCTGTAATGTTTAAATTTCCTCACTATTAGATTTTATTGCACAATACTTTACTATACCTATAAGATTACGATACTTGGGCTCTTCGATGAAATTCTTACGGCCTCACTCAGAGACGCAACTTGAGTAAAATTAGAGTGACATGGTGCCTTATTCTATTGCTATCGCAAAGAAATTAACAGCATTAACTTTAATAAAACTAAAAAGTTTATTGCCGGGTCTGACTGTCGCCGTTTAAATGACAAAACTTTATAATACAAATTCTTATTTTTTAATAAGACTTTTTTGCTTTCATATCTTTATAAACTTCAATAGAAGCGATAAAAGTCTGTAAATTTGTTGCTTTACATTATGTGTATGATTCATTTATAATACAAATGTTTTTAATTTAATGACATGACGTTACTACTCTTGCTACCACAGACTATAGAACATTTGAATGCTATATAAAATAAAATAAAGTTCAACAGGAAGGTCGTTTTTTTTTTATTCATTATTATTTTTCATCTACGTCTATCTTAGTATCTAGCGATATATCTAACGATAAAATGAAATATACTTTTTTTCAGTCTGTCATTTGATATACGTACGCTGGTAACTTCTCTGTTTCGACATGCATCGCCTACCGATTATAATCATAATTTAATTAAATGCGAAAAACATAAATACTCCACCTAGACTAGTAGACAAGATCTTTGGCTATGTTTAGAAGAACTGTCATAACATTCTGTTTTATGCCACATAATTATATAAACACATTGACGGTACCCTTAGCACGAACCAATATCGAATTCGAATTGTTTGCGAGTGCGAAATGTCAATGTAAAATTTTGTATGGAAACTAGAACAGCAGCGCCACAAAGGACGTAACGAGAACTAAAAATCAGTACACATTTGACGTAATCTAGATCGAATTCAACTATTCGAATTCTTTAATGGTTCGTGCAAAGGGTACTACACTTCACATGACTATTCGTAATTAATATATGTCATTTTGACAGCAGGTTGCTCTTATCATGCTCTATAGGTAATGAAAAAGAGCATTTGATTGATGTCAAGTTTACGAATAGCAAATACGAATAAACATGTGAAGAGCTAGCACATTTTTAAAATTAATAATAATATTATGCTTAGTCATAAATAATATTTTTAAAATAATAATTAATATAATAGTTGATACATTTTATTAAACACTGTACTCAATTACGAAAAAATAGTTATATGTGCTCTACATGCTCAAAATTAATTATGAAGTAATTCTATTGGTTTTATACATAAAAAATATAGGATAAATAATTAAAATATGATATTTTAACGGTATTTTGCATATAAATATAAAGCAGTACATTTGTACATACAAAATGGTGGCTGAAATATTTTTAGTATTTTATTATTTAATTAAATATGAACACTCTTTCAGTCCCCATTTTATAATGCGTACAAAAACTATATCGCGAAAATTATATTTTTATATATAGATATTACTACAAACTCTATTTTTACAGGTCTCACTACTTATAAATCGTGCGCTTATACATACATTATAAAACAACATCTACTTAGATATTTAAATATATTAGGAATATTTTTTTTATTCTTCACACAAGCACCGATATGTCAAGATGGACTAATAATGAACTATTTATACACAATTATAATTAGAACTTTTCTAATTTATTTTATATATAACTTTTAGAATATCATTTTCATTTAATTACTTTCCTAGGGACAGATGGCAATCAGTTTTAATAAGGTACTTTTTTTTAATATTACGCTGATATATTTAACAAAATGCGTCTTCGAAAATTTACTGATATGATACAACATATTTTACTTTTTTTATTCGATTTATGCAACGCACATGTTTTGGTAAAATGTCAGCGAATTGATATTCATTACACAGTTATAGAATTGACAAGAAATAAATTTAGATTATTTTTACTAACTACAAACTTATTGTCGCATGAAAAAATATTTTCTACGTAAGTACCTATTTAATTGAATAAGGGCAAAGTTGTTCGATTTACATTAAACAAATAATAAAAATAAATAAGAATGCAAGCGTTACCTTAAGGTGAACTGGCGATGATTGGTACAAGCTATGCAAAGGGAAATTAACTTTTGAGGATTTTTTTTTTACTTTAAAATTATAGGTTATTTTTTATGTCCTATATTATGTGTTATGAAAGTCCTCTTAAATTTCAATTTGCATAACTATGTCCCATCGAAAGTGTTCTCTTTTTATTAAATCTAATATGGCTGGACATGAAAAATATATCATAATCATGAATTTATATAGATGACCTATAAATAGTATTTTACCTCATTGTGTATATGTGAATGCATCGTAAATGTATATTTATGTTCGTTATTATATTCAATATTTTCAGCTTTATAAATTAATAATGGAAGATTATAGTCGAGGTGAATACTTTAAGTCCATATTAATTGTCATAATATTCATCACGATTATTCATTTAAATGAATATCTATATTTAAATGTATAGTGCATAAATTGATTATTTAAAAAATAGTCCGTTTCTTTTGTCTTGAGCAAATCTTAAAATTCCGTTTTAACTATTCGTTGCGATGTTGACAAACATACTTGCACATCTTGCCGGCATTTCACTTGGCTATTCGTATTTGCTATTTGTAACTTGACAACAGTCTGTCTTTATCAAGCTTTTAAAGGAATGAAAAGGACAGATTGATTACATAGCGCAAACAAAATTAACCAAATGAAGTGTTCGCATTTCGAACGTAAAACTGCTCTACAGATACATGATTCAAGTGTAATTGAATAATCGATTTTATCCAAATGATACAAGTCAAAATAGATTAATGTAGTTTTTTCACATGTGATTAGTGCCTTTGTTTGTATTTAAGATAAGGTTCCAGACATCAGTGGGAATATTAATAACCGCTAGCGAATCTCAATGCATTCTGAGTTGACGTTTAAGAACGCTTAATGTATGATTAGATTAAGTAAGATCATTATATATATCATTACATACATTACGCAAACATGAAGCGGAACCACTAAATTTATTATATCAATTAATATGGATTCTATTTATTATAATTTCGCATTTTCCATACAAAATTTCGAAGCTCGTCTGAAATGTAAAAAATATTGACATTGTAAATTGTCAAAACGAAATGTATATCCAAAGGCATACAATAAGCTCACAACACAAATTATTATCTTAAAAATTAGGGCAGGGCGATCTTTACAACTAATAACAACAATAATTATATTAAACATACACCCTTGCGTATGATTCAAGGTGTACAAAGTACAAAATTGTACAAAAACGTACTTACGCATGTGTACAGTGACGGTCAAAAGTTTTTTTGTGATCTCAATATAAAATAATTTACACAGTGTAAACATGTTATTTTAACAAATTAAATCCATGGCACAAAGTTATTAATAATAAAAAAAAAGAAAAGTCTTTAGCCTGTACTTTGAATTTGAAATTAAATGACCGATTAATTGGCAATCGATTTTTGTCGTATAATGTAAACAATACAATTTGGTGTCGATTTTGGTAGTCTCTTTTTTTTTTCATTCTTTAAAATTTAATTTTAGTTTTGTCATGTTACGCAGTAGCCTCTTTCTTATTAAGAGATCTTTAAACAATCGACCTTATCAATAATGACATCGTGAATAGAAATATAAAAAAAATCCAATAAAATTTCCTCCGTCGCTGTACCGAAAAAAATCAACAAAAAACACTAACGAAAAAATTAAATTTCGAATGGCATTTTACAACTACATACCCTGGTATTGAGACTAATACCCAATTTTTATATCTCTTACAGCCTTCATTCTTTTGTTATTGTCCGTACCTCCAACAGCTATGAAACTCGTGCCCTCTTAAAGTTTAATTGACACACACATTTAAAATCTATTTACGTTGTATAATCTACGCCTAGATAAGATAAGCTATCTACGTTACTGATGAACAAAAATAAACAGTAACAGACACCATTTACCTACTTAAAAAGGTCAAAGTCATGTACTTAGTGCTTTGTTAAAAGATGTAAAAATGTAACTAATAATAATTAAAAAAAAGCTTCACGACTATTATCTGTAGAGATAACTCTAAAATAATAATAAAAAATATATACAACAATAGTTCTATTTTTAAAAGTAAATTTTTTTGTGTCCTTCCATTTATTTTCATTCGTCAATATACTTTGATAAGATTTAGATAGAATACTTTCGATGTTGAAAATGTTACCGATATAAAGATAAGAAATAAAAAAGAAAGTGAATTGTAGGAATTTATGGGTGAACAGCAGACAAAACATTATATGAACCTTATATCCACAATAATAAGGTTTATAATGCAAGTGTTTTGTTGTGCCTGCTGCTATCAGTATAAGATAATCAGACTTGTGACAATGTTCGAAAAAAAATTATCAATATGTTCAATTAACTTGAACAGGAGTAACTTATTTTAAGAGTTGAAGCATCTAGATTGAAATTTCAACCAATTACTCAATTTTTGTCTAGTTGAGCTGGAAAGATGAATCCACAATGTCAAATATTTTAAGGCGTCTTAATAATATTGAAATTATTCAATGACTTTCAGGACTGGTTTAAATTCTGAAAGTGATTTAATAATTTTATGAAATAGTCAAAACTTAACACATATTAAAAAGAAAATTCTATATTTTTTTATGAGATAATCAATTCAATTACAAACAGATAACTTTCAAGTCTCGCGAAATTCGACAATGTGGACACATTTTTGTATACAAATATTACATTTCTCACATATTCCGGAAAAGCTCATTTCAACAGCAGAACATTACCTATCTCGCTAGCGTGTTCTACTGATATTTATTTCACGATAATATAATAAATAATAATTTCTTTATTCGCTTAATCGATGGACTATTGCTACATACACATAATTGGACATCAACGAATGCCAGCACTTGACCTGGCTATTCGTATTTGCTATTTGTAAACTTGACAACAGTCTCTTTTACTACCTAAAGAATATGACAAGGACAACCTGCTGTCAAAATGACAAATAGGAAATACGTATACAAGTGCAGGCATAAGACGTGATTCTTCTTAGGTCAACACCTAAGAACTAACATTAGAGAAAGTTGAACATTTCCGTAACTTCCCTATAAAATTATCGGTTTAGCATAAACAGCCAATAAGCCGACTCGGACAACCAAGTAAGATTCTACAGGAATGATCTTACATATTTTTCAGATTCCTTATTTACCTTCGCATAGATAACAAGACATAACTTTCTTTTGTAACAATAGAATTTTGGGATACTGTATGATGTTTCTTTTGTCCATTAGGATCACTCGTTATTTTGATCAAGGAGATTACAACACTTTTTAGGTTAGGTAAAATGATGCAATATAACTCATACAAATGAACACCAACAGGCTTAAATCTCAGTAAATGAAACGGTATACCAAGGCAATTTAAAACTAATCGTACTTTTCTGAAAAACGCCCAGATACAATTATGTACTTCCAAAAATGTGTCGTGACAATCAAAATTGAACCTTACTCACAGCGCTCCAATGTCCGGATAAACGTGCGGTATTCCGGAGCTCGTTTCTCTGTACTGCAACGGGTCTGCTCTGAATTCTACTGGTTTTAGAGCCATGTGGCCGTAGATTTTGGCGAATCGATCGACGCACGCGGATCGTTGAGACATATGGCGCGCGTCGGCTGATAGCATTTCGGTGTTGGTGCACTCTGGACATTTGAACTTCTTACGGGGTGTCACCTTGAAACAACGTGAAAGAAAATAAATATTTTTGATGTGTAACATCTTTCCTCTCGCTTTCGTGCAATTTGTGGGAGTGATTACGTGAAGTGGGACGGAAGTGTGTAACAGGAAGTTTGGGAAGCGCGCGCTTTTTGATTTGATTTTAAAACAAATTGTTCAAATGGCTTATTCCCCTTGTAGTAGGTTTTATTTCTTTTTTTACTAATATAAGGTAAGGTTTCAAATGTTACACATCATATGCGACTACTGTCAGGCTCGCTCGTTTTTTTTCTAACACATACCAGTTAGTCTACTAACATTTGCCCCACCAGGATTCGAAACCGAGACCTCACGAGTAGGCGACAACTTGAAACCCGCGTACATACCACTCATCTATCTCGTCAAAGTTGAGTATGCATTAATATGATCAGCTAATATTGTAAATTTCGATAGACGCCAACACTCATTTTAAAAAGCAACAAAGGTAGGAAACAAAGTTAAAGGTTAGCATATTCCCTGAATGCAATAAATGACAGATTTAATTAGATCGATCTTTCCATACAAAAAAAATACACACATCAAAAGTGTCTAGGGATCAAGCATTTTTATGCGGATTTCTTGAGATTGAGATGTGGCTTTGTAATAAATTTATGATTTTATAAATTAATATGGATCCTTTTTGGTGCATTTCATAATTTGAATCAGGAACTGTGAATCAAATTCGAGTAAAAGATGAAAATCAGCTGTCAATATTTTCCCTATAAAAACATACAACGCATTGAAGACATTATTAGTGCTACTGTTTCCCTACTACTGATTAAAACCAACGTTATTATGGAGCGGCGACGTCATTTAAGCAGGGAAGAAATGCTCAGAGCCGTGGGAATGATAGAAGCTGGTTCCCGGCAACGTACTGTGGCTTTAGCTCTGAATACAAGTCGGAGTGTTATCAGTCGACTTTGGACACGATACCGAAGCACTGGTACCGTGGCTGAGCGCCATGGAGGACGGTATCGCTGCACCACACGGAGACAAGACCGATACATTCAAATCTTAACTCGAAGAGCTCCAACAATAACCGCCATGATGTTAGCCGTGAGGCTTCATCACTCTTCAGGGAACTTAATTAGCGACCAAACAGTCAGAAACCGCTTGCATGAAGTGAACCTTCATTCCCGAAGACCGCTACGGGTACCACCTATAGCAATGCACAATCGTAGGATTCGATATCAATGGGCTCTTGAACACAGAAATTGGGCAGAAGAACAATGGCGTTTCGTGTGCTTTTCTGATGAGTCTCGTTTTGGTATGAGACCGGATACAAGACGTATACGACACTGGAGAACCCCTGGACGCCAACAGCGATTAAAATCCTGCCAGGAAGTCCATCCTTATAGTGGTGGAACCATCATGGTATGGGCGGGTATTTGGATCGGCGGAAGAACTGAGTTGATTTGGATCAGAGGCAACCTCTACGCTCAAATTTATGCTGAGACGATTGTATCAGACGTCATCGTTCCTCTACAAGTGCAAATCGGTCCCTTATTTCAGTTAATGCATGATAATGCACGACCGCACACCGCAAGAGTTGTAAGACAGACTCTCGCCGCAGCTAACATCAATGTCCTGCCCTGGCCTGCTCAGTCGCCAGACTTGAACCCGATTGAGCATGCATGGGATATGCTACAGAGAAGAGCTCTGCCGAATATGGAGGGTATCCAGTCGCAAGAAGACCTTTTTTTGTTGTTGCAACGAACATGGGCGGCCATTCCACAGCGTGATTTGGATGAACTCATTTTGAGTATGCCAAACCGATGTTCTTGTGTTGTTAGTGTTCGCGGTAGAAATACGGATTATTAATTGTTTAAGTTACCCAATAAAATTTTAGAGAAAACTGTTATTTCAGTCTTTTTTTTGAACTTTTGTGTTAGTGGTTCAAATGTCAAAAATCCCTTTATTAGGAAAATGGCAAATTTCTTTATTAATGCAAAGGTGACTTGGTTTATCGTTACTGTGACAAACGAAAACACTTTATTTGATGAATCCTTAAAGAAAATTTTAATTAATATCAATCAGGAGAAAAGTTATTGCAAAAATATATGTTGATCCCTAGACACTTTTGATGTGTGTACTTGTCCATATTTTTGTGCATTTTTTGTGCAGTTATTTTCTGTAACATTTTCTGGATTTTTCTACCAATCACGTAAATTATTGTGAAGCATTTATTGTTGCTCTGAAGTGGTTAAACGCACGCAGGAGTACGGTCATAAACACGACCTTCGTCGCTTCATATACCCGTCTTTTCTTAATGCGACGCCAAAATTGTGCAGTGTTCAGAGCGGACTAGACAATTGTCGCCATCAGTAAAAGTACTTACTCTCGACTGCACATTCTTCGGAAAAAAAATCACATGTACCTTTGTACCACTGCTATCTTCAAAATTAAATTAGTATGTATTGAAAAATATTTTTACTTGGAAAATTTATGATTTAGTGCCATTGTGAAAGTTTATTCTGCATGCATAGGTCTAGATATTCGGTAAATTAAGAAATTAGAAACTATTTTTAAAATAAATCAACAGATTTAATATCTAAAAACTATCGGCATCATTTGACAACTGTTTAACTGTATTACAAAGAAATGTAATGTAGACGTCAAGTATATTTATAATTCCATGTAACTTCTTGTTCGTGATATATTGCATGGGCAGAAATTCCAATATTCAAATATCCCTAAAGGAAAACTTTTATCAAGTGTTAATGAATTCTATATGAGAGTCGGATACCATGAAGTTGACAACTTATTAACATTTAAATAAACATTTGTAATACAGGGAATACCCTGTGTTAGAAATATTTCAACTTCATGGTATCCGAATTTATATATGTGAGCTGTCACTATTGTTTCCGGGCAATAACTAAGTTAATATCTCTCTAAAGAAGCTAAATTTGGTTGGTATAAGGGCAGCATTCCTGCCTTCTGCCCCGATGATTTGGATGATTTAACTTTTTTTTTATAACAATAAAAGCAATATTGCAAAGAATACAGGAAAAAAATAGGGACTTAGAATTAATTTTTAATAGAATGGTGTCAAATTCAAAAGAGAAAAAAAATCTAGTTAAACCTTATAATTTAAAAAAAAAACCTGTCTAACGACAGATTGCGCTATTTTTTGTATTCTGGTTTTAATATTCCTCGTTTTCTTTTACTAATAGAGCTGTGCGAAGATATCCTAGGCAGTATAAACTGCCGTAAGAAAAGACAAAAGCAAGCAGCGATATAAATGTAACCAAGTTACGTTTTGCTCAAAGCGTGACCCGCGCTACACGTTCGCAAATATGCAATACGAACACCTATGTTATTAACCCCGACCAAATAAAGATAAAGACTATCCGAGTCATTGTTCACACAACAGACAGACTGCGATAACATACGCGGCTAACGTAAATGTACACGTTATCAAAAAACGATATCTAGACTAGACATTCTTTAAATATATTTGTAGTGAATGGACGTTAAAATTAAAATCAGGTAGGTACTTTTATAATGCAAAAAAATTAAGTCTTTAAAAACAAAATAAGATACATAATTTGTTCAAATGCATTTCTTAATATTTCTTTCGAATCTTCAATTTATAATTATTACTGATAAAAAGAAACTACATGAACAGATTAAAAAACAAAAGTAATAAAACTTAATAACCAAAAAGTTGGTCTTTCGAGCTTCTCAAATAAATACCTTGATTGGTAGTTTGTTAGTGACGTTGGCGTCCAGAAAGTTCATTGCAATTCTTCACAGTTGAAGTTGTCGTTCACTCATCTTCGAATCTCGGCGGGCATCTTGTGCGTGGAGTACCACGTTTTTTAACAAAGTTCAAAAGTTGGTATTTAAAGCATCGCAAGTAAATACCTTGATCGGTGGTTTCCTAGTGACAATGGTGACTAGGAAGTTCATCGCGATGTCCTCACAGTTAAAGTTGTCGTCCACTCATCTTCGAATCTCGGCGGGCATCTTGTGCCTGGAGTACCACGTTTTTTAACAAAGTTCAAAAGTTGGTCTTTAAAGCATCGCAAGTAAATACCTTGATCGGTGGTTTCCTAGTGACGATGCTGACTAGGAAGTTCATCGCGATGTCCTCGCAGTTAAAGTTGTCGTTCACTCATCTTCGAATCTCGGTGGGCATCTTGTGCGTGGAGTACCACGTTTTTTAACAAAGTTCAAAAGTTGGTATTTTAAGCATCGCAAGTAAATACCTTGATCGGTGAATTCCTAGTAACGTTGGCGACTAGGAAGTTCATCGCGATATCCTTGCAATTAAAGTTGTCCACCCATCGTATTATATCAGCGGTTATCTTCTGCGATTAGTACCACATATAAGTTTCCTCATATAAGTGAAATTTGGTACTTTGAATCTCACAAAACCTTAATCGGTGGTTTCTTAGTAACGTTGGCGACTAGGAAGTTCATCGCTACATTCTCGCAGTTAAAGTTGTCGTCCAGTCCACCCATGGTAGGATCTCGGCGGGCATATTGTGCATGTAGTACCACGTTTTTTAACATAAATCAAAAGTTGGTCTTTAGAGCATCGCAAGTAAATACCTTGATCGGTGGTTTCCTAGTGACGTTGGCGACTAGGAAGTTCATTGCGATGTCTTCGCAGTTGAAGTTATCATCCACCCATCGTCGGATCTCAGCGGGCATCTTGTGCGTGTAATACCACGACCAGATCTTGTGGTGAAACGCGGCTCCCGTCAACACCTAGAAATATAGCATATACACAGTTTTTACAGCTATCAATAACACAATTTATCAATAACATTTTATTGCCTAGACAGCTTTCGGCCGCCATCGCATTGTATCTACGAGGTTTTTGAAGTGAAAACTTCGTTAGTATCGTTGTGACTTGAGATTCGATAAAACGAAAGTAGAGTATAATGACACAAGATGTTAATATAATGCGTAATTTTATTATTTACCATAAGAGACAGATAGTCGAATGATAACGACTCTTAAGAGACAGATAGTCGAACGATAACGGTCTTGGGGTCGACACCAAATGATCGGTGGTTCGATCCTGAGCTCGGTTATTTTTTCAATAGTTTTAAATATATATATTTTTATTTTTAAATATTATTGAATAAGTGCAACACGTTCTGTTGAATTTTTTGTGGTCTTTACAGACTACGAGAGAGATTTACAGATTCGCTCGTCTAGAGTAGTTACTTTCACCTTACAGAAGATCACAGCAAAATAATACTACCTCTGACTGCTATGTTAAGTCAGAATCAGCTTTTGACTTAATATATCAGTACTGCAAACGAACGTTAGATGGCGCTTACATCGACAAAATATATCTTTGTTTGCAAATTATAGTTTATTCACTATGAAACAACCCACGGAGCACCCCCACTAGAGTCCGCATACAAGGGCAAGCGCTTACGCCAAGCTTAAGTAGTATTTTACCTATGCGTGAGGCACGCCTACAGACGTCGCGATACATCGTTTCATTCGGTAACCGAGCGTTGGTCGAACTGCTTCTCTCGTTTTCGTGTTAAAAAACTGTAAAAAATGCCGTACTGTGCAATTAAATTGTGTGGAAAGTCGAGTACAACTTCCAGTCTTAAAAAAAATGGTATTACTTTTCACTGGTTAGTTTAAATGCATTACAAAAAGACAAAAATACTGTTACATTAAATTGGTGTTAATTATATTTATTTTTTGGTGAACGCGTTGATGTCTTTTTACACTATCCCTTTCTCGCATGGGCTACATCATATATGCTATCTCGCTTTCACACCGGCACGTGTATTGCTAGTGACTCAGACGTAGCTCATGTCTCAACGCGTAAGTTTATCGATAAGTTTGTCAGCTATGGAAATTGAAAAAATAAATAAAAACTATTTATTTCATCGTATACAATAATAGATGTCATGAGTATACAACCAACAGTTTTTATTTGACTTCAAACATATCCTAATAAAATTGAAAAAAACGCGAAAATTTGTATGCATATTTTTTACTCTTTCACGCTAAAACGGTTAAACGGATTTGTATGAAATTAAGTGCGCATAGTTTATGACCTAGATAAAGACATAGAATTAACGATATTAAATACCCTAGAAACACTACGAGCAATCAAAATGTGTCCCCATCAAGAAGTACTTGAACTCCACTCAATCGCGGACCGTTGAAAAGTCAAGATGCCAAAGAGTTCCGTGAAAAAATACAGAAAAATACTAAAAGTACGTAAAGTGTTTTTATTAATGTTTTTTATTTAAATATTAATGTTTTTTTATTAACGCCTTTAAAGCAAATTTTATTGTTGTAATACTTACTATAAACTGATTTAATATAAAATATTTGTGATATTCAAATGCATGGTCGGTTATACGTCGCCCTTAGCCATCTCTTTTCTTCGCGATCTGTACCTGCTATATTGCTAACAGCGCATTCCGAATTGCGCGCGAAAAGTCAAAAAAATAAGGTCTATATTCTTTCACACATAGCAATAAATCGTAAAATTTTACGAACTTGACGCATGCATTTTAATTAAGACCTTATGCCGTATGCATTAAAGGTGACTTTCAATGTTTAAATAAGGCATTATATTGTTTTTGACCACGCGATCATCTTACGGACCTCCGTGGATCGTCCAATGTACATTTTGGACACGTTTCGGCCACGATTTTCTTCTTGTCCTGGGCGTGTTTTTTTTTGTGTTGCTTATATATAATTTAGTATGTAGTTACTAGTCGCGTCATGTAATTAGAACGCTGGAAGAAAGTGGAGAGGGTATGATTACGCATTTGCTTACACTCGCGCACCAAAGTACTAGGCCTCTATTCTAAATTGTTTAGCGATAGAAAATATCGATATTTTCTAAAATCGATCTTACCCTCATCACTTTGCTGCACTGAGTATATGATCTGACCTTGACGCGTCCAATCACAGCGGGGCTGACCCCAACGACTTTGGCGATTTTGATTCCAAACAAAATTTGTGTGATGCGGACTCTAGTGGGGGTGCTCCATGGAAACAACCCCACCCCACCTGATGGTAGTGTAAGTGAAGTCCAGTCACGAAGATAGATGATACGGCAAAAAGTGTGCCGCTCCAGCCATCTTCACCTTACCGGCCTTAACCCAATCCCTTATGCCGCGGAGCCCTGGGACCCTACTAAACAGCAGCAATAAAACACCACCAAAAGGTAGTTTATTTTACTGTGGTGTTTGTAAGGTGGAGCTTTTTCCCAGACAGGCGCTCCAATTTTAGTCGGGCACGCTACAACTACGCTAGAACGTGTAAATATTTTACGTTTTTCCACACAAAAAGCCTTTTAGATAGTACACATAATATACCGGAACTATTAGAGATAAGAAATACGTATAACCTTAAAAAACCGGTTTTCCTAAAGAGCGAAATCAAATAGGTTTTGAATCAATTTAGCGGTTTTTAAAGAGTTTATTTTAGCTCTTTGTGATGGCATCGATAATAAATAAATAACTTGACTCACTAGACGCTAACAAATGTGTCAATAAATGCACCAATTTCTCTGCATTAACAAGTTGTGACTTGATTAGTTCAAACAAAACAAACTTCAAGCGATGCCGACGCACGTGCACGTGTCGCTCTGGATTAAAACGGTTTATTAGGTTTTAGGTACCGCTTTCATTTCGGACGCGCTCCGAACGAAACCTTTACTAAAAACCGGTATTAACCTTTATTTACCGGTATTTTCGAAACCGGTTTCAAGTCCTGGTTGACACCGTCGAAACGGGGGGGGGGGGGGGGGGGCTCTAAAGAGCGAAATGTCAATTCTTTATGAATGTGAGGCTGTATAACATGTCTATATATTTCTCTTAACTGATTTATCAAAACTATGTTATTGTATAAACTTATGTAAAACTATTGTTCTATCATTTACCAATATTACTAGTGACACTAATCTATTGTTATAGCGAAAAATTTTATCGACCAGTACAGTGGACACATAAGTTAATAGTATATAATTAATGAATTTAATCAATAATCGATCTTTTTATGTAAAAAAACCTATTTATGTCAATAATAGTATCACTTTGAAAGTAACAAAAAAACATTTAGTAATAACATAAGTTTCCTGTATTACTAAGACGAACTTAACCTAGAATTTAAAAAACATATATGCATAGATATGATAATATTTATATATAAATATTTGATCAGTGTAAGATAAAATGATACGTATTTTTTTATCATGCATTTCTATGTAAGATTAGTCGCACCGCAACATCCCGCACTGTGTCATTGCCTTTATGTGTCTCTGCTGTTCGCATGCTTATCATGCGCAGAGACTGAGATTGTTGTTTCTGTTTGTTAATCTACCTACATTTTTGAATTGTTAGCCGACACGATGTAATGATTTTTTTTTGTTAATTATGCTTTGTATTTTCTCTGTAAGTGGACTTTTTGTAAATTCTTTTGAAAAAATAAATGTCTTTAACCGTAACTAGCTGTGTTACCCGCGGTTTATTAGAGATTTTCCCGCAGTAATACGTAGCCTATGTGTTGTTATGTACGCACCCATTTTCGCCCCTCACCTTGTCCCCAATCTATATTAAATTCCTAAAATATCATATCATCAAATACAACGGACAAACAAACCCATAAATCAATCAAATTAATTCAAAGATAGATAACCCTAAAGGGCACATCTAATTTTCGGGAATATAAGTACAACGGACAAACAAACCCATAAATCAATCAAACTAAATATCTTATTTTTTAAATAAGTTTCGAAATATTTGCGAACGTGATCACGGCATCTAAGAAATGCCTTATCACAAGACCAAGGGTCATTGTCAATCGATCCATGATCCGTATATAAATCCCATAATATTTTACTTGATCAGTCATTCTCATCCTATCGTTCATGTAGTATATTAACTTCATCAGAACAAGTCATTGTGCCAAGTTGTTAGTTGTTATAAGTAGTTATTAGATCAATCTTTAATTACTTGTAAAAAGAGGGAAAATAAAAGAAAGTTGAAGATTCAACACATATATTTTCTTTACGTCGAAACACCACCACTAACGCTACAAAAAGGGTATATAACAGTGTTAATCCCGGAAGTCAGCTAACTCCATGCCGAATTATATTAAAATCGCTCCAGCCGTTCAGACGTGACACATTCACAAACTTTCGCCTTTATAATATTAGTGTGATACCTCTCTGTTTTTGCTAGTTTAAAACGTGACATGTACAATTTAGTTGCTATATTGCGGGTTAGTTGAGCTTACCGCACTCTGTTTGCGTTTGCGTAGTACACATTGAAGTGTATCTGCAAAGCACAATCTCAAGCCCATACTTGAACGCCCATTCAAAGAGGATGTTCTGAAATTACGGGCGCTAGGTGGTAGCAGTTCGTCAAAAGGTTCAATCACCCAGCTTGTGTCGTTGTTTATGAAGCAATTTAAATCATCGGTCGATGAATTAGAGCCTAACATTCCTTAAAGACCTCGTGCTACAGTGCTAGCATAAATTTTCCCATTGCTTTTATGTATGCTGAATCGAACCGAAACGGAAACATTTTCGACACAAAAATTTTATATACATCATTCAAGGATAGAAAAATATATATTTAATTTTATTTATCTGTGATGCACTATAATTAAAAATTAATACAATTTAACTTTGACTTCATCATCACCCTTTATCATCACAACATTTATCATCACCCTATTAATGTCCCCACTACTGGGGCACAAGCCTCCCCTAT